ACCTGCGACTATTTTGCATACATGCCATATGAACAAGATTTCAACTCCTTATTCAGCTTTTGTCTGAAGAGATGTGAACAGTAGTACAATTATAAAGGGAAAGCAAATTATCTCTATTTTAATATGTCCACTAGAGATTTATGTTATTAGATGTCAACTATCCACAGCTTACTTTATCTAGTCAGAAGCAATACAGCTGAATATTTGTGATGGATAAACAAGTCCCACTTGAAAGACAACGTCACGTATATTAACTATTGTAATCAGCTCCACATTTACTTTACTTCCCGAGTTGCTTGAATATTATGTTATTAGAATTAATTTATGGAACTAACCAATCTTTGACCTTACCATACTTAAAACTGCTTCTCACGAAAGGCCATAGTATGTACGATTTTTACCAACAGACTACCACATTGCCCAGAAAAATCTTGGCAAATGGTGAATATTGTCTGATCCGTTCAAGAGCATCATGGTCTTTGCGTATGAGGTGGGGCCGCGTTTCCAACGCATTTGAGAATGATTAGGTCTTCGAATGAGTTGACGTGTTTGTGTATATGGTATATTGGTGGAAGATTGTGATGTAAACAAATAAGTAAAGTATTAGCTGCTACAATTACCTGAATTGTTGTTTTCGGGCTAATTCGGTTTGTGGTTATTCCGATCTTTTTCTCGATGCCTATTCAAGATCACATCGAATTTTGTCGTTTTTCGTGGACTTTTAGAGATTAACCCAGCTAATACTTTATTTATTTGTTAGACGCTCTTAAATTCATCGTATTTGAAGTGTGTGAAAAGATCGTTGTGTGTTTCGTGATAAATAAACAACTGCTGAAATATTTAGTTCCAAAAAAGAATAAGTAGTGCATATGCCGTTAACAGTACCGGTCTTAGTGAGATTTTTTGAACAAACTACTGTATTAATTTCTACAAGGAAGTGCACTATGAAATGTTTATAAGAAACGGTATTTTCGAAGTTTGTACAAAATTCTACAAAAATCTATCCAGATAAGTAATTCCATATAAACAGTTATATACAATCGTATCCTACCATGTTTATCACGTTATATCACAGTATGGAAGAGGAGGCAGTAGGTCACGTATTCGATACCTTGCTCGTAGTATGTGACGTACATCGTTTTTCTGAAAGACTTTAATTTTTTTTAACCACAGTCATTATAGAAGGGGTCGATGCGCTTTATTATGGTAGCATTTAACCATATTTCTTCAGAAATAAAATAAAAAATGTGCTTATTTTTACGTAACGTGTCGCAAAAACCATCTAAGATTTTCATTCAAAGCATTCTATATCTAAGGTTAGTAGTAATTTGTCAGGATATATCTAAGTTTGCTACCTGATTGGTAATCTGTTCTAAAAATGGGATTAGTTTCAGTAATTCTTGATCGTCCTGTTGGAAAAACCAGCTTTCGATGGGTATACCGTTATCGATTTGATATGCAAATGATTGCAAGGAATTGTCGATAATTATTGTTTTTGACAGATCCCTACCCAAAATGGTTAAATCTTTGATGTAATTCCCATACACGAATACACAGTGCTCTCGAAAAAGTCGATGACGTATTAATCTCTTCCCAGGATCGAGCAGATTCTGTAAAAATATTAGGAATGAGTTTAGGTGCAATTATAAAGTTTCACAAAATATAATCTAAACAGCTCATTTTATATTTGTTATTTATATAATTTTTTTTTTTAATGGTGACTCGTTTTATGTTCTTACTATTTTATTACGCAAATCACCAATAGGATGTCAAACCTAAAAACATTTTTCTTTTGTTTCTCTTTATATCAAACTTCATGCAAACATTTGCATTTTAACAACTAATGTAAGAATACCAAGAGCTTTTATATGCTTCCAAATACTTAAGGTTTGCTATTTTATGACCCGAACAATAAAGCCCGAACAAAAAAAAAAAAACTGAGAATCTTGGAATGTTTATACATTGTTTTAGGATCTCAAGCAGCTTACCAAAAGTTTATCAGCATAAACACGTTTACTTGCTGTGAATAAGATGATTTCAAATGAGCGCGACAACCGTTCCAAAAATTCTTGCAAATGTGGCCGTACACGAACGTAAACCTTCAAAGTTTTATGAATCCTGAAGTTTAGATATAACCAATTCTCAGGACCTACGTAAAACCAAGCTTCTTTTCGAGAACTCCTATTTTAACGATTTGTTATTAGTGTATCAGTATTTGTTATTATTGATGATAACCATTTTGCACTACTTTTGATGATGCATTTAGTCTCCAGAGCGATGTATCTCTAGCAATTAAAAAGTATGGTATTTTTCAATATGTGGATATGAATCGACTAAACAAATAAAAAAACGAGGAGTAACAAAACGTTATAGTCCTTTGTGCGGATAATATCAACGATACACGCGGTTTCAATATTCAGAATAGTAGCACAGTGATAATGTTCTATGGTGATATGTTTCACAAGTGCCACGGCTGATAAATTATTCAGCAGCGAATTAATTCACTGTCATACTTTGCATTTGTTAGAAATTTTAACCAATATTCATTCAGGAAAAATTTAAATCAGTATTCATATCCTTCCCACTGGATAAAGCTCAACAATAACGCATGTTTTTCTCTTTTAAGAAATGAATAAGATTTTCTCAACCAATATTTTTGTAAATATTTTGATGCAAAATTTGAGGCTAATTTTTTTCTGAAGCAAGGATTATAGATTTTAATATAGTTGTAAATATTTGTCCAAAAAGCAGCAAAAAATTTGAAAAGTGCAAAAATGTTGTCTTTCGGAATGTTTAGATTTAGTGAGCAATAATAATTTTACTTACTTGATAGGTATTTTCCTGAAAATGTACCGGAAACGTTAAAGAAGCATCAGGTAATTCGGTTAAACTGCAGTGTACCAATGTCTCGTCCTGCAAGATATCTTTTTCTCGTAAATCAGGACTGTTTATTCGTTCCTTTAAATCTATTGTTGTCTAATCGTTATTTTAAGAAACTTTAGTCAAAAGTAGTGCTTTGGAGATATTACGCAAATTTGTTAGTGACCACTACGAAGTTTATTGAATAAAAGAATTTACAGGGAAACTGACCAAATCAAGGACGAGGGAAAATTCTGGTGTTGAACGCGTGCGGAGTGGCAACGCTGGACATCGGTAACGCATTTCGTCACTAAGCGGCGGTAGGTGTCGTAACAGGAATATTCTGCAATATAGCAGTTTTAATATTAAAAGTCGAGAAAAGCGCAAGTTCATTTGACTTGAACTTTTCTTCACAATCACTGAAAATAAGACTTCCCATAATATGTCTGTAAGCTGAGAATTTTAAACTGGCCCAATAAAGAATATAGCTCCGTATTATCTCTCCCTCTTCCCGATTCTTCTCAAAGAGGACCAGAATCATATCAAAAATATGAGACTATGTTAAAGGTAGTAACATAAACGTTTGTTGCGGTAATTTATATATAACTTGATTATAGACCATTTCATTTACGACTGCATTAAAAAAGGATTTTTCTTCAAGAATTTGGTTTGTGCGTGAAAAAGAATAAGAGCTGGTGGTGAATATGGGCGAAGGAAATAGCAAGACTAAATTAGTCTTCTATTATGCATGATGAATAACAGTCATTGAACTCCATATTGTCGCTCCTTTAACTTTTACACAGTGGGATTACCTTGATAAACAAGATGGTAAGAAAAAACTTACGAATCGGCATCAATGACTGGATAAACATGCCGAAATGCCTCAGTTTGGGAAGCGGTGCAAATAATTGGTGTATCAGTAGCCTCATCCTGTTGTTGTTGTTCACCTATACTAATAGTGGAGTAATCTCGGTGCAGCCCCTCCGAGGAGGGACCTCTCCTCTTCCGTCCTTCTTTCAAATTCAGCAAAGCTCCTATCTTAGCTATCTGAAATGACAGAATAATGAATGATCAACGTTGACATTACAACCGTGAGTGGGATTAATGATGACGATGATGATGATGATGATATAACGAATTACGCAAAAGAGGATGACAACGAGACCATATGTCATGTTCTGTTCTGTTCCGCACTTTCCTGCCTAAGTTGTGGGAGAGGAACACATCAGAAGAGAGCGACAACTAGCAACTTCGAGCAGCCACAACGACGTAATATTATTGCAAGTTCGAAGGACTTGCATACACTCTAGAGAGAAAGATTGCTGCAGTCAGCTGGCTCTTGCAACCGCATCATTTAACTAGTCTCTCCCAGCCACCGGTCGATCGATGTATACATACCGTGCTATATTGCTGCCTCCGCTATCCACCAAATGTTGATCGATCGATCGATCAACATGAAACACATGATGACTGCCTGCATCCGTGTGGCAGCCATCACAGCAGTATACACATCTCTTTCATGTTTACCGAATGTATACGTATATATATATAGACATTTCTGTTTACCGGCCTGCATGCTTACTTGCCTGCATGTTTGACAACTGGCAATATCACTCTAATCGGTATTCCTTCATCTCGTTCACACTTCATCACTTCCATGTCGTTTCGTCAGTGCCACTCCTGAATTGATATGCTCTTTTACCGCCTTTATTGACATTCTCACTAGAAAGAAGCTGGTAAGGCTGAACGAATGTTTACGCCTCCTGGGTAATTTACCGAAAACCATATTAATTTCATTCACTTCTAACTTTCGTTGAACCATGTTAGCACCAATGAGAGCATTAAAGCGTCGAGAATTGACGTGTGATATCAACAGTACTACTGACAATTTGTGAGAACGCAATACTGTTTAATGTTAATTTCCAAGGGTGATCATACTAGGACGTCTTGATGTGTTTCTTACCGGCATCAGTTTAGCATTTTTGTCAGTGTAAGTCGTGAGGAGTTTAATTTCTGGCGTAGCGATGAACTTTAGTGTCCTTTAACTCAAACTATAGCTCTAGAAGCAAGATGAGAGGAACTACATCATTCTGTTGTGATTGCCCATTTCTTCACTTTTTTATTGCTGAAACTGTTTAAAGATGGTGAAAAGAAGAAAAAGATATGAATCGGAGCAATTTGCGAGCAGTAGTAAGCGCTTCAAGAGTGAACTGGTGTTGCATCAAGGTGATGTCGAGAATTCACTCCCTAAGAATAGTAAGAGTTATATTCCAATAAATTTCTAGTTATATTTCAAAAAAATCCAATAAATCTCTAAATTTTGAAAGCTATTTCTTGATTTGAAATTTAAAGATGTTTTGGAGACCATATATGGCCGAGAAAAGGAAGTGGCTTTGCTAGAAAAGTTTTTACATAAAGGCATAATTAATCGGTGTCCTGCATCAATCTTTGTTTCTGGACCACCAGGTACTGGTAAAACTTTGGCTGTCAAAACACTCCTGCAGCATATGTCGTCACAGTATCAGTAAGTAGTATTACGATTTTGTCATTATGTTTTTTTCGATATGTGTCGTGTAATGTTCATCAAGTTTTTATCCCGCAATGACTATTATATGGAGAGGCATTAATCACAAGATTAGTAACTGCTAGGTTACTCAGTTTTAAAATCGCCTAGATTGAAAAAATTTATGCTACCGTGAACTTTTTCAGTGTTTATTTCACATATATTAACTGTGCTTCGGAAAATACTGAACGGGATATACTAACCGCTATGTTAAACGGTTATAGTAAATGCAGCAAAAGGCTTCCCATGAAAAAATTGCTTATGGAATTTCACAAGTTGCTTGCGAAAATAAACAAACATAGGTGAGTATTTTACGATCTTGTAGCGTATTATTTTTTTTTTTTTGTCATAAGCATATGATTTTAATTTTTTGGGAAAAGAATACATTGTTTCTGTTATAAAAATTATTTTAGCATAATTAAAAACTTTCCAGTATGTTAAATATCAAATCACCCACCGTGACTAATTTTCAGTATTGTTGTACTCGATGAAGTAGATTGCATAAGACTGAAAGATCGTGATTTTGTTTGTTCGATGTTTCAGTGGCCTCTCATTTATGAGAATGTTTCACTTATCGGTAAGCGTCCGAATGACAATCTTGCTCCGAATTGATGGATGAAATTATATATATATTTATATATAAATTCAAAAAAAAAGATATGGAGACGGCTCCACACCTTTTTTTTTAATTAGTCCGTAATTTTTTGTAAAAGCCATCTTCTTTTGTTTAGTAAATTCGTTATTAAAATAATTTTGAAAATTTATATAATTCAAAGTGCTGAACATATGCTGTTTGCTCGTGAGGGGTTTCGATATTTTTGCATATTCGTTATCACTTTTAATCTAAAATATAAACTGGAATAAAGTTCATTTCAGGTATTGCTAATACATTAGATACGATGGAATTATTGAAGCAAAAATTGAAATCTGTACCAGAACTGATTATTTTTGCTCCGTACACTGAAGTCCAACTACAGGTTATATTGTCAAAGAAATTGGTAAGTTCTTGATAATAAACATAACGACGATTTTGATCATATCGTAAAAATTATAAGGCACTTGTCTTCTAGGATGTTTTCTTTTTACATTTAAAACTCGTTTAATTTTAGAAATCCAAGAACGATGGGGATGCGATCGAACTTTGCGCTCGAAAAGTAGCTGCGATAACAGGAGATGCACGAAAAGCAGTGCAGGTTGCGCGACGGTATTTTTTTTTTCAATAAATTCTTTGCAAAATATCAGCGGTTTTGATTACTCGTTTACTTATTTTAGTCTTTTAATGATAAGCTGCTATTTTTTTTCAATTTTAGTTTTCAATTTTGATAAGCTATTTTTCCAATTTTAGTTCCCTATCGATAGATTTAGCAAATGGAAATACTTGTCGCAATGTCTTTGGAACGCTAGGTAGTGTTTATGGTTCTCCGTTGCTGCAAGTGAAAATACCACTACAGCAAAAGATACTTCTGGCAGCGATGCTTCGTCTCGCTGGTAATAATTCGTCCACAACAGTTGAGAAGGGTTCGTGAAATTTTGAGTTTTTTTCTGGTATATGATATATTTACTATTTACATAGTTAACAGTGGATTTAAATGAAATGATAAAATGTGTTTATATACTTTAGTTAAATACTTTAGAATCGTTAAGAGATATTAAATTGGTTAATATAACTCTATTGAGACCTACATACAAACCTAAATTCTTCGGTTCACAGTGAGTTGTTCTCGGTATAATTGAAATATGTTGAAAATTAGGTATTTCGATCCTCAATGTTTGGATGCGATAGACTACACTCTATAAGGCAGTGTATCCCATGTGCAGCTTTTTTTTTTTCTTCATAGTCGTAGTAATATAATTAGGTCGGATTACTTATGGTTTAATTTCGCGGTTTTCGAGAGGGTATTGCATGATCGTATTTTCATAGTCTTCCGTCAAATTATTGTTTTCAAAGTATATTAAAAATTTTCCTCTCTTTAAAGGTTCTCTGCTGTCGGCTTACAAGAAACTATGTAAACTCTTATTACTACCATCGCTTGAAATGGATGAAATACACGAAGCATTATCATTACTCGAGTCTCAGTCGATTTTGAAGTTGAAACCTTCCTCATGTCAGTTGCTCGTTGATAAAACAGTAGCCGGAAAAATAATTGCCGATTCTTCACTGCTATCACAGATTAATACAATTTGTTTAGATGAGAATAGCATAAATTAATGGTATTTATGATTTAGCATGCTTTCATCTTTTGTTTTTTTGTTGTTACTGGAGCAATAATGCGCATGTATACGGCTTACATGGTCTAATCTCCTTAATTTGTTGACAGTCTATATTGTGCAAACTGGCAAATTTTTGATATATCTTCGCCATATTACATTCAATCAAAAAAATCTTTCAGATCTTTTTTCGCCCGCTCATTTTCCACTTTGTATTTCCCTTATTGCATTTTCCATTTCTTTTTTTTTTTGTTTTGAATTGCCATGTCGGTTCTCTGAATAAATTGATTGCATATGATGGCTCCGAGTGAAATATATAATTGGCCGCGTTCAGTAGTACTTATATCTTTTTTGTCGGATTAAACTGACAAAGATTTCAGTACACTTAACCTCGAGGAGAATAACAATAACAAGTAATGCATATCAGCCTACAAATGTCTTGATTATGTAAGTTATAATAAATTTCAGATGCGACCATTATCGGATGAAGAAACAGAAATTGTTTTTAGGAAGTTGGCGCATTATATTGGTGACAATGTGAGATCACTGGTTGAACGAGGAGATACCGCTTACTGTTTCAGGTTACACAAGGTGGTGTTTTAAACTAGAGAAGCTAAATTTCCGGTTGCAAAATAATCGTGGATTTTTGAAGGACCGGGTATATTATTGCACTGAAACGCTGATGCGGAAAGCAGCTTGTGTGTCGCGAGAACCATTACTCAGCTTTGGTACATGTCTTGGCAAGTTCACGAAAACAAAGAAATTTCGACTGCATATCACTGCGCTTGACTATATAGCACCTTATGCTAAAGTACATTTTACAAAAAACTAAATGAAGACCAATAATCATGAAAGAGCTGACATGTGTAGAAAAAAAATTTTTTGTATTTCTTTGCTTGTTTTTTTAAGACTAGACGAACCTTAGCGTAATTTAGAGAGATTTTTCCGTAGAAATGTAATGCTTTATTTAGTGTAAAGTTTGGGTAAAACCGAGTGCAGAGCAACAGTTCTTGTATGGTAATAATGTATTGAAGTCGGGAATGAATCGAATGACAGAGGGTGCCGGATCGCACCAAGGAGCTGTTGTGTATAACATGAACGATTTACCACTCGGATTTGGAGTTACAGCTAAGGTATAATGGATTTTTCTTAAATTTCTTTTTCGAAACCGAAGCGAATTTCCTAGCATAATTTGTTAGCTCTTATTAAATATGTATTAGCTTGTGATAAATGACTTGAGGAGCTGAAGTAAGCGTTTCATAATTCCAGATGCGTTATGTTAATGTTTTCTCTACTTCTATCTTGCAATTTTTGGAAATTTTGAGGTTGGACTGCAATTACAGTTCGTTTGTCAGATGTTCTAAAACAGAAAATTAGAATTAGACAGTGAATTCCACTGCTAATAGTTTTATTTGAAAACGATGTTTATTTAGGGTACTGCGGAATGCAGACGCGCTGATCTAACATCTATTGTTGTATTACATCAGGCGGATCTTGGAGAGTATATTCGTAATGAAGCTATGTTAACTTAATATATTTCCACTGTAATAATGTCTGTCTTGTTTTTATTTTGGAAAAGTTGAAAAAAAAATTCGTTTAAAAAGATAATACAAAGACATGGAGTTCAGGCAAATTTGACAGTGATGCATTTAAATTGGATTCGACCTATTCAAAAATCAAACTTCGGAATAAAATTTTGCTATATGTGCGCTGACACTTTTGGTTATACCCAAAAAATTTTCGGACAGGGCTGTTGCTCGTTGATTCTTTGGGAGTGAAGAGTAAAAAACTGTGAGTGCTGCAAAGGATGGAAACCGATCAACGATATGTGCTGCTTTCTGGATGCTGATCTGTGGGCATACGACAAGTTGCCGCAAGAAGACATCTTTAACGCTACGACGCTGGGTTTTTTTCGACATTTTTTGGAATTTTTCAAAGCTCATTCCTGTTAGCTGAAACAAAAAGAAGAATTAGCTTTCTTGAGACGTCTCACTGATCCGCGCCTTGTATTTGTGCTATCTTTATATAGCATTTGGTTTGTGAAGAGGACGCTAACGACACCTGATGAGTACAACTAACCTCCTGAGAAATTGCTTTTCTTGCTAGTCGTTTTCCAATTTTAGATAAAACAAGTGAAGTGTGCTCCATACTACTGGTACGATAAACCAGAAATCTGCAATTCACCTTTAATGAATATACATAGCAGCATGAAAACAGTCATTTAAATTTATAATTAAGTACCGATTTTCTATATGAGTAGTAACAAGCGCTTGTTCAAGAGAAGGCACAGAAATTAAGGGTCCTTCCAAGATATAAACTATGTTTGGAATACCAACTGATATTAAGCGTTGTTTCTGTTCCTCGTACCTGGAATTAAGCAGTTTGATAGAACGGACGTGGTTTTTCTCGCAAGATATCTTCATGTTTAGGAAATCATCTAAAAACAACCTTTTTTGTACTATACTAGACCACAGATCGTCAAGTGTTTTACGTTCAACAATAGTGTCAAGCACCATCTCTGTACCATCACACATACGCATTACCCACAAGTAATCACCAACAGATAACGAACGCATCTCGTAAAAAATTCCCTAAAATTGGATGATTTTTCTAGTACATTCCCGGCTCAAATTATACAATTACAGGAATTTTATATTAGAATTTATTCACCGAATAGCTCATGCTAGACTCATAACTGAAAATTTTTGAGCTGAAGGCGTGGATAGTAATGGTGGTTCAAAAAGAAATTTACGGATCCATTTACATTAACGCTAGAAATTCAAACACCTCTCAATCGGAGCTTACTACTGACCTTTTTCTGGAACAAACTGCACATTTGCTGAAATTTTCTCGTATTAGCACTTTCTCGATTGTCAATAATTAATATTATCTGAAAGAAATCGAACTGTAGTCAAAGAATGCTATATAATTCTGCATGATTTTAAAGACAGCCCACTTATCATCCTCACATTAATAGGATTGGAAAGTAAAATCATACTTGAGTATTAGTAAATGCAGAAGGATGGTAGATAATGCTATCAGCATATTCCTGTGATACTGTATAAACATGATCATTTTTATCATCATCGGCAACAGAACCAATTAGTTCAACGTCATCAGTTACGTAGTTTACCATCTTAACATTCAGCGCACTAGGTCTTCGAATAACTTGTACTTCACCACAGTACGATTCATTTATGGTTACTGATGAATTACTAGTACCTTCGTTTTCCAGTGCTACTTTCTTCGATAACTGTAATGGCTGAACTGTTCTCATAACACGTTTACGTATGTGATTACGACTCTGCTTCACATTCGCAGCATCCACATGTTGAAGCAAATGTTCCACAGCCTTTGATTTGAGAAGATCAACACAGTCCGCGGATAATGTTTCCATAGTTCGAGGGAGCCTAGATTTTTTTTCTAGAAGATTTGAATGGTTTAAAAATTGTAAGAATTCTCCCTTTTTCATCTGATTAATCTGCTTCAAACTTGGTGTAGTCAAATTTCGTGAGCAAAATACATTCCACGCTTCTTCAAGTTTTCGAGCTATTTGATCACCAATACCTGGAATAGTCGAACATCAAACAACCACTAATGAATCCATTTGAATAATCATTAATTTATGAGTTAATGGCAAAAACATGATCCATAACACAGCAACGTTTATTTTGTATATCACCATGCCAGTGAATATCAAAGAACTGGTCGAATTTTAACTACAGTTTCATCTTCTCTGTTTTTGAAAAGACTTATTTTCTATGAATATATATGGCTACACCGATCAAAACGATGTATTATTATTGCAGTTGTGCGGCTGCTTCTATTAATGCCTATCTTTTTCGACTTGTAACCAACAGCAGTAATCAAAAAAGAGCATGATATCACAAAGAAGAAAAAGCAGATTACCTCGGATATTTTTGAGATCTGTAAATGTAGCAATTTCTAAAGGATATGCTCTCAAACTGATCAATGCTCGGCATAAAACAGAACGAAAATTACGATCGTCCACGCTCTCCTTCCAGTCCAATAATATTCCTACATAAAATCTGTTTCGTGGAAAAATACGATGTATTTTCACCCGATTCATAGATGCTTCGTCACTATATAAGTGCCTGAAATCCACGCAGATGCAATACCCAATAATACACAAAAACCCTTGGCAATGAAGCATTTTAACATTATTCAACAAAATAAGCCTTTTTTTTTTCAGCATGAGTCAATATATATGTTGTAATACACAAAGAAATCCCTGGATTTGAATTAGTGGACATCTCGAACAAGCATATGGTTGAAGAAACTCATTGTTCACAGCGTCTGTCAGATTTTTCTTTGGCAGAACAAAAAGTGGGGTCACCATTACTTTTGATGTCTGCAAAAGTAAATTAAAGAAACTGAGAACTATTGGTGGGTAAAATCCCGACAAAAATTTGTCTTTCCATGCAAATGAACCGAAAAAAAATCAACATTTTATTTAAAAGAATCCAACAATGAAGAAAAATGCAAGATCACTGTATTACCTCGTCACTGTACAAGAAATGGAAAACAACAGACGTAACCGAATGAAACAATGACAAGCGGCACTGAAAATTCGAACACCTCACCTAATGTTGTGTTTATTATTGTGTGCACATATGGAAACTTAACTTGAACAAAGTGAAAAAATACATAAACTCGAGTAAAGTTTCTAAATGAAGTGGAAATGAAGCAATCTCGAAATTCTTCGCTATATATTTGTTATTTTCAATATACTTTCTCTCTTTTTTGTTGCTAAATTCCCCTAACAAATTATTTTATAGAAATGTTATATGTTGATTTGCATAAAAGTGCAGAAAGCCTTTGGCAGTTTAACCCAATGTGCAAATGTCTTCTAACAATAAGCATCAAATGAGAAATTGAATAATGGTAATCATGAGTTGAAACAGTTCTTTGAAAATCGTGAGAGTATACTATCGGTCTTTGCAAACACCAAGAGGAACTTTAAATCTGAAGGAAAAAGAAAAAAATCTGAAGATTGTTAGGCAGTTTGGATAAAAAAATGCTGGAAAACAGCACAAAATAAAAATGAATGAAAAACGAAACAGGAAATGGTTCAAAAATAAACAATGAACCGATTGACAGAGGTATAATTGACTGACCACACCGGGTTTTACATCTTCAACATACATACATACACACACCCAGAGTGGCAAAATATTTGCATGTAAATAGCAGTGTTAAAAACGGGTCTAACAGCTAATGAACAAAAACAGAACTACTGTTGAATCTGTTTCAGTCATAAGGAAGTTATGAACTACCATTGAAAGAAAAATGAATTCCAAGAAGTCTGTGAAGATTACACTTTCTTCAGGAACTTATGAGATGGACGTAAAAGATGGCACAGTGACTCTTGCATAAACGAATTTACACTCATCCTTAATATAATTCAGCGATCACTACATAACAAACCTTAAGTTATCAGTAGGAATTGTGAACTTTATTTTTTCGCGAGTACTGGCCATCTCCAAGCCTCGCCAAATATTCAGCTACAAACTTCCGCGCCTTATCTCGCACTGATTCTGTGACTTTAAGCTCCGTCTCACCGACCCGTTTCAATTCTTTCTCCAATATCGTGTGTGTCAGCTACAAAACCAAAACACTTTGAAAACATTAGTGTCACCATTTTTCATGAACTATCAATACTGGTGAGAAATTATTCAGCACCTCATATGATTTGTTTACAGCATTTCGCAGAAGAAAAAGCATAAAATTAATTCATGCTTCTACAAAATTAACGAAACACTGCTGAAGTATCAACAGAGCAGACAGTCATTCGTTACTAAAAGAAAAAGTGAAATGCACCGTTACATCAAGCTATCCTGAAATAACAGGACAAAAACAGACCAGGATTTTAAATAGTGTAAACTACCAATGATGTTGCATTCTCTTTAATATGTGAACATTTCTTTACAAATGATATTTTTCCCATCGTACATAAAAGTTAACAGCTCATTCGATAAACAATACATAAGATTGTAAAACATGTATATCTGAGAGAGGTTTGGATAGAAGATTTAGTTCTAAAACCTTTATCTAAAAATCTAAAAGAGTCTTACTTTCCGTAAAACATATTTATAATCATCAGCAGATGCAAACTTCAGCTTTCGAATTGGTTCCAACATGCCACCAACATACTTCACTATCTCAGCTTTGAATGTTGCACGCGTATCAATAGTCGTAGTGTCAGCTGAGGCATTTCCACCTTCAGATTCATCGGGCAAAGTCCAAACGGATTCCCTAAAAACATTATATATATAAAGATATAATCCACAGTTTTAAGAAATTTGAGAGCTCCGATCTCTGCATGTGCTATTTCTCATAGCTATATTCATTGCTAGTAAGCATTAAATTTGTAGTATATAGTACAGAAAAATGAAAAACAAGAGCATTTAAATATCTGTCAACTATGAATTTCAAAATCACTCTTTACAAGCAGTGATTTGTAAAGATTGAAAACATTTCTAGACATGGTAAAAAAATAGAGCTGTAAATGTGAGCACGATATAATAAAGTAATAGTTAACACTAATGCCCACTGCACCTGGTTTCTTTATTGTAATAATAAACAGCTCCTTCCTCTGTTGTAGCCTGTATCCACAACGACTGCTTAGTTTGTGAAGGTGGAGGAGGCGGCGGCACATCACTCATTTCATTTGATTCTTGTGCAATCTTCCTTTGTGCCTCTTGCAAACGTTTTCTGATTTCTGCTCGTTTTGCCTTGAGCGTTACCAAATGCTGAAATAGTTTTATTATCTGATAGTTTGGATTTGCATATACTGAAAGTTTACCTAAGTTGGAGAAAAACTGAGCATTAGCATAATTTAAAAAAAAGACTAACTTTCTCGAGCATTTCAATATCTTCGTCTGTCGGATTTTCTGCATCGATTGGACCAATTATAAGCATATTTGGCCTTTCTTCTGGAGTTTTGGGTCGTTTAGGCGGTGGCGGAGAAGGTGCTTCTAAGATATTTGTTATTTCTGTGGTATTCTGCAAGGAATCAACTGATTATACAAATTTAAAAGAGTTGAAAAAAAAATTACTTCAATAAATTAAAAAAAAAAATGCGCTTGTCATCAAAGTAGACTGAAATTATCTTTCAGAGGCCAATACGAATCACCTGCGGAGTTAGTGGACATGGTAGTAATCCCATCATAGGATACTGTTGCTGCTGATAATAGTTAATAAACTGTTGGTAGGCAGCGGATGATGGATCATATTTTGCATATACGGTGTTCCAATCGAAAAATTCCGGAAACGAATGCTCATTGTATGTGAAATTTACTGAATCTGGTAAACCGGCAGCAAATAATGCTTCCGGAAGAAGCTTTGGTGGTGGAGGAGCGTAGAAATCACAATCTGCAGCATACAATTCATACATTGAACTCGGATTTCTTTCACCAACGATATCAAACCGCGAACGACGTTTCTTTGGTTTGTTTTCTCCTTCATCATCTTCATTAATGCGTAGTGAATCAGTTACAGTTATCGGTGATTGCTTGAAATCTTCATTTTCGAGATGCGTCAAATCTTTGACGAAAATTGGCAAATCGGCTAAAATATATCAAACCTCCTCACTACGCTAAAAAAGAGAAAAAAAACCTTCTTAAAATTAGTTTGCTTAAAACAAATGAGAATAATGTGAAAAAAGGTAAAATATGAAATGTATGAAAATATCATGTCCTATGATTCAGAAAAGATTACTTTTGGGGAGGCGACGTCGGTCGAAGCAGCGCTTTTTGGAGGGTGGTCCAAATCCACTTAATCTCCACAGTGTACTGCCATCATCCTTCTTATCTACTATAACTCGTTTGTTCCTTTCATCCTCATCAGTCTTCTAAATTGGAAGCAAAACATATGCGACTTTACAGTATGCGCAAAAACATAATGCATTTCAAAACTCAGTTAAAGTAAAAACAACAAACTTGAAAAATGGAAAAGACAGAACTTACCCGTACATAACGACTAATATCATGTTGAGTTGGAACAGGATCAGTGCGTTCCCGACGTGGGATTCGATATTCCTCACGCAAATTTCTCCACTTAAATTTTTAATAAAAATTAACAATTTGAAGAGAAACTTGAGGAAGAGGACAGATAAACATATTTCATTTTTTTAAAAAAATATATTTGATAACATCAACCTTTTCCATCAGTTTCGCAGCTTTTGTAACCATTTCGTAGTGTAAACGTTCTATTATAGGATCTGGATCTTTTAAAAGCGAATGTTTTGAAGTTGAAGGTATATCACAACACACCGCATCTTCTAATTTCCTTACGATATCTTCCACAATTTCATCTACTGGACCTCTCTACAAAATGAGTAAAATTGAATGAAAAAAAAAAAAAAATCAGAGAAGAAAAATGAGCAATCAAAAACTCACTTTACTAGTAATTTTTTCCACAGTTGAAGCTAGATGACTATCTATCACTTGATTCTTATTCACAATAGGCATAACGTTCAACAGATCAAGTGATTTGATTTGCAACTGAAGAACAGACTGCTCATCATCAATCGGGTAATCGGTAGCTAAGAAAACGTATAAAAGCCTCAGACCTGCAAGTATCAAGCTTTTAGAGTGTTTTCTAGATCCAAATAATGAGTAAAAAACATCACATAACAAAACTTTATAAACGCAACTTCATATTTTAAAAAAAGTTTAATCCAAAGAACTTAATTGAAAAAAAGGTTTAAGAAAAACTTTAAAAAAAATACGGTCAACAAAACGAACCACTTTCTTGAATGAATAGCCGTAGTACATCAGGATGTGCAAATCGGACACACTGTATTAGGGAGGAACGCTGTGGTGCTTGTTCTACTTGTACCATTAATCTAACGAGATCACGAACTTGAGTGCGATTTCGAGGGGGTCCTCGTGACAAAGCATTCACTATTGCCTAAGCATATGCAACTACATACTCAAAATAAATTTGTTGAAAAAAAAAGATATATGATCTTAAAAAAAAAAAAAATGCTAAAAAATACCTTATTGCAACGCTGAGCTGATGGTTGTCTCTTTCGCTTTTTCGCAGTGCGCAAACTTTTTTCCTTTTTTTCTGATTTTAATTTGCGCTTCGTCAATAAAACTTCATCATCCGTTCCACTTCCCTCAACTTCGGCTTCATCACTGATTTTGTCTTCTTCTTCGCTTTCACTATCATCACCTATTCGGCCTCGACAATTTGCAGCACCACAGAAGCATCGTTGTGCTTTTCGCCTAGATTCATTCAATTTTGAAATAATATCCACATTTTAATCAGTACAATCTGGCAAATTACATTTTAATTCCAAATTCCGTTGGTGTATGGAGTGCCCATTAGATTATTTACCCACACACAATTCATTTCATTACAGTCAAAAGAACTTTCTAGGATAGTAGCAGAAGCATGAAACTGAGATCTAGCATTCTAGCACAACTTGCAACAGTCTTCATCAAAAGATACTCCATACACCAACGGAGTTAGACATGAAATAAAAAATTACCCGTAACGCTCAAGTTGATAGTCGAAAACGATTTCCTCTCCCAACGCAATTGGCTTGATCACGAAGAAACCAACTCTCAACTGACGGTTAACTGTCCACTGCAATCATTTTTAAAAAAAATAAATTTCCATAACTATTACTCATCAAAGCACATTTATAAATATTAATACTACCAGTTCAACATATTCGTCTAATCTATTGAAATGTAAAAATAAATTTAAAAAAAAAATGTAGTTATAGCTTATTAGAGAACCTTGACACTGTGTAGGTTTACACTAAAACTCTTATTTTTTCTTTATAAAGATATAAACAAGTAGAAAAAAAGTTTTGATAAGACCAAACCAACACATGAGCAACAATATATGAAAATTATTAAATTCAAATTGGTGAAACTATGATATAAAGCTAACGGCTAAGTTAATATCATGTTGAAAGATGAAATGGATTTGTAGGAAAAATATGTTGAAAGATGAAATAGATTTGCAGGATAAAAGAAAATAGCGAACTTACAAAAAACTCAAATAATGAAACTAACTGAACCCACTATGATTAAGCTAGAACTACTTATTTCAAAAGTCATCTTGATAAATTACAGTTGTCTCGGTACTCTTGTGCATTTCAGCATACTATTTCGATCGCCTTTTCGCAAAATCCATAGCAAGCGCATTTCAGGAAAACTCACCAACTTTGGCATTGCACTTCGGTATTCGACAACTGTAATTTAAAAAGACAATGCGAAATTTTCTAATACTACCAAAACTTTTCTAAACAGGTATTTCAGAGAAAAAAAGACGTTTAAGTTGGGATTAACAAATTTTAATCTCTTTGAAATCAGTTCTTTTAAGATAAATGAAAGAGAAATGGAAGCTAAAAAAACTCAAATTGAATGGGTCGCAACTACCAATAAACCACCACAAAAAACAACACGTACCTTCTGACTTTCACAATTGGGATCACAAGAATGATTTATGAATCGTGAAACATTCCCTTTCGCAGTTGCATCTATCACAGCACCATTCTTTAGCGCCATAAGATAGTGATGCACATGTTTTGGGTCTTTACCATACCTGGAAATCCAAAATTTTTTTTCTCTAATTTCGGAAGTACTCTTTGTTCCCAATGATTATAATTCGAAAACAAATAACCTTCTTCCACGACGTATCATTTCCTCAGCATCAATAACCTCACCAACATATTCAATGATAAAACGTCCACTGAAAATTTCCAAAACTAAGAAAGTCTAACAAAAACAAAATAAATACAACCATCCTGCCTGAAAAACTCTAATCAGAAAGAGATTATATTTTGCAAAACGTAAAACAGGAAATTCTGATCTAACAAGAAATAAACCTTCAACATTGCAGACATGGCAAAAACAATGCTCACTAAAACAATTTGTTAAAACATACGGCTCAAGTGGTTCTGCAGCTCTCAATCCCCAACCTTTTATACCTGCATTGAATACTTCCACTTTCGCATATTGTTTCTGGAAACCAGACATGAAAGATTTCATCTTACTTTAAATTTTCATCCTGGACCAGAAAGTTTAACTACCAAAGAATATGGTACATTAAATAACTTACATTATGAAACCGCCTATTGGCGCATCCCGCCCCACTTGGACATCGTGACCCACATTCGGTATAGAGCTCTCGATTAATGCAACCGGAACTGCAACCACGACCTTCTGCTATTTCAACCGACGTCGGTTCACAAAAACAACGCACAACCTGTAGCAAATAAGTAAGTGTTTTCTTACAACTATCTTTTCCCGAAATAGAAAAAAACACAATCTAACTTCAAGTACTGAATTAATCCATGAACAGAATATTGGGGTATCCTACTTGAGCAAGTTTGGAAGCAAACTCTGGATAAAACTGAAGAAAATTCTACCTACCTTCGCCTCTTTAATTAAACTTTCATCACACAATATAATATTTTCATCCAAATATTCATACTGCACAGGTTCACCGGCTGACTTTAACATCATAGGGGAAATTTCTAGCGTTGATGGATCAAGTTCTCCTTCATCCTCATTAAGATCTAACGCAGGTTCCGGTAACAAAGATTCATTATTTGACGAACCAGTTGAATCAGCAGGTACATTTACAGTACCAGCGGTTTCTGATATCTGTTTCCGTCCTTCAGTAGTTCGTAAAATGCCAAGATCTGATGAAGGAAGTGTTTTGGGGGTAGAATCGAAGGAATACATGGAAACTGATGTTGCTGATGAAACAGAGGATATTGAAGATTCTTTTTCACCTTCTCCACTTGTTTCAATTTTAGAAACATTCATTATCCATTGCTGTTGAAGAAAAGATAACGATTCTGATGGTAATTTCGTTTCTTTTAAGTGAGGTTCCTGCGGAAAATGCTTCGCAAACCACGATGTGACTGGTTTTTGTACGCTGGTTTCTGCAGTTCTCTCAGTTTCATTACCACACAGAGTTCTCGAATCCGTGTTCAAATTGTGATCGTAATGAAGCTTTGAAGAGGACAATACAATTTCTGAAACATTATCGTAGATCGATCCTAAATCTTTATTTGACGTTGATTGCTCTTCACTTGCTTTCTGCAGTGCCGTCATCTGTACACATTGATTTTCCAAAATTTCCATTTCATGCATTGCATAATTTGATTGGTCCTGTTCAGATGACAAAGTAGTGTTATCTTGTAATTGAACATTTGACTTCGGCTTTGATGAGCACGGTGAAAGAGCTGCTCCTTCAACATCTGCGGAATATTGAAGTAAAGATTTGGTGTGCAACAAACTTTCGCCTCCATAAGAATCTAAACGTTCAGCAACAGTTCTTGAATTCAATGAAGCTTCTACACATCTCTGTGATCTTGACTCTTCTTCAGGACATAATTTCGGTAATTCACGTGTTTCAACCTCCGGTTCCCAAATTTTCACATGTCCAGTAGAAAGTTCTTTTGGTGTTTTTGTGAACTTCCATTTAATTATTACTTTCCCCTTGTCCAATGTTGCTTCGGAAGCAAGCTTATCATCCGTAATGCGAGGTAGAAGTGCACAACTAATATTACCATAAAGTTCAGATGGTTCAGGCGGCAAAGCTATATCACAAGGATCACATGGAAGCGCTATTTTGTCCAGCGACAAATCAACAAGGCTACTATCTTGGTGATATCCATGTTCCGTTGCAATGGATATCTCATTACTCTCAGTATACTTCTCCATTATCGTACTGGAAGTTTTGAATGCAGTCGTCTCATTTGTTAACATCTCTTTTCTTTCATTTTCACCAGTGGTTTTATTATATCCATTGAACGCCTCATCCAAACTAGTAGTACATTTGTCCATAATGGTGTCACTTGTATTTGGCGCCAAAGCATCATTTAACTGAATACAGAATGGTGCTCCGACATCCCATCTCGAAGGCCTCTTCACCTCTAAACTCGCGACATTTCCCTGAGTATGCATACTGATTCCAATCGCCTCCGGCTCTTCATTCTCCACATCTCTTTGCGTGAGAAAATTTGAGGGTTTTTCCATCTCAGAAATAATTTCATACTCGTCCTTTTCATCGACATCCATATCGACCTAGAAAGAGATTTGAAATAAAAATTTATAAAAAAACTTAACAAAAAACCTCAGTATAACAGAGCAACTAACTGACCATTCCTAATTATATTTGCATAGGGTTGCTGCTAAGACATTCTTCGTACTTCGTCGATCTCAAACAAAGTTCATATTGAAACCAAAAAAAAACCCTTTATATTTCTACCATCTTAACTTTTAGTTTTAATAAGGAACCATGTGTCAATTATTTTTAACTATGTAATATTTACTTGTACACATACCGGACAAAATCTGCAAGAAGCGCTACGCTCGCACATTTCTAGTTGACTGGTTACATAGCAAAAGAAAAAAAAAAACCATCATTGACTTAAATATTGGACACAGATTTCTACTGCAATAAACAAACTACAACCCACTCTAACAGCCCTTTTTCTTTGTTATTATTCTGAATAGTAGTAGCAAAAACATTTTTCGCAGTGCTTCCATAAAACATGCATAATTTAAGATGAAAAAACTCACCACATGCAATTTATCAAAACTCATAATAAAAATACAACACTTCAACAAGTCTTTTAAAAAAACTAGCTTCGTGTTTAAACTGCATTACAAACTTTCAAGAAGATTTAAAGTGTATATACATCAGTCCACGAAACGATAGAAAACTCCCGAAACACAAGGTAATCTCATCAATGTGAAATACACAAAATATTGATCAACATAATTGAGTGGACGATAAACAATTTCTACTCTTAACAATTTTTTGCTTCGTAAAGAAACAAGTTTCCCCAAAAATTTGCATATAAAACTATGCTCTCCTATCCTTTTTACAGCAACTATCAACATGATCTGTAAAAACCTGTTACTCCAAATAAGTTGAAATTACTTACTATTTCAGTTGAATCTTTTTTGTCATCCACTTCTTTCACTAGCCAACGTTGTTTCATTAATTTGATACTCATGTCTTGTTCCCGACAGCAATAAAATAATAAATTATAGGGACATTTCCAATAAATCAGCAAGATCCTGAAATATAAACTTTTCTGTTTGAACTCGTTTGTAAAATAAGTAATCACACGCAGTATCGTTTCAGTAGTATATCTTATTTGGTGTCGCCAAATCCAGAAAAGTGAAACGGTATCAGGGCTCTTAGTGTATATTATTATATTGCTCTAGTTACAAACGACTGCGATTAATTCAGATATATAGAAAAAAAAAGAAAAGAAAAAACGTGGACTAAGAAATGAAGCCGAAGGAGCAACCGCTTTGAAACCACGACTATTATATATACATATATGGATGCCAAATCACGATTTCTATTTGTAGAGATAGGTCTCTTCTAGGGGATTACAGGTAAAAAAATATGAAAAATATGCAGAATTTCCACCAGTTCCTGCAACTCAAAAAATTTTAATCTATTTTTCAAATCAGAGTAAATACTCTACAACACTGTTATCCAGAAAGAGGTGTAGCAAGTAAACAAAGAAATACTCTCCCATCGCGAAACCTGAATGAAAAAAATGTCCTAGAGGCTTCCTGAATATTTAGGATCTTTTACGACTGAAATTAATGTCGGCTGAAAGGGTACTCCTGTTCCTTTTGTGTTTGCACAAGACATGAAGTGAAGATGCAGGAGAGGCAGAAACAGTAGTGTAAGTGGGCAACTTCCAATCAACAGCACATATCGATTGCTCTTCTCTCTCCATCTCTCCTCCGACGGCCATCTCTAAGCGTTACGTTGCCTTTCAGCTGCACTCGAATCCCATCATACAGCTAATCCCTTTTCTCTCCAGATATCTCCTGAAATAACATCTCGTGAATTCAGAGTAAACTGCAGATAGTATCGTACATATCACAAAGTAGTAAGCGAAATTATGTTTAAAACTCGTCTGCTTGTTGACAACAAGAAGTACGAGATTATACTTCAATTTTTAATCTCAAAAGCCGCTAATTAAGAGTCAAAATCATTTTTTATTCAAAATATATTATTCGGAGTAATTAGAGATTGACTTGTGGTCGAAAAGTTCCAAATTCACGAATGTCGAATTTAAACTCTTTAAAATTCAACGAAATAAGAAAAACACGAACCCTTCGCAGACTTAGCAGTATGCATTCCACGACGTCTGAAAAATGCGAATCTCAGATCTCTACTACATCGATTAACAACAGGACTATCAGGATCCTGTAATTTCAGCACTCTGTTTTATATCTGTAGAGAACAACAAACTAGATGCACCGTACATATTCACATATCCAACTATTTCGTCAGATATTAGGCTGTGATAATTCTTATATAGTATAGCTTGTAGTGTAAAATTTCGGATTTTTCCAAGTAATGAATTTAAGGCATAGTTTGACTTATTAATAAATGCTTATTAATAATAACACTACAATATTGTGGTATTCAAAGCATATTCGTAAACACTTTTAAAAAGTCATTATATTCGCAAACCTATTTGTTATGAAAATATTTCCTAAGACTTAAAATCGAATCTTTTATAAAAAACACGTCGTCAAGTATGTGTCATCCCTATAATTCCATATTTTTTGGTTGCCAACACAAGGATGTTGTCTATAACAAGAAACTCAGATGAATCTTGTTGCATTTAGCATGAATATCGAAGATGCAGAGAATGTCTATTCTCTCAAATGTGCGCTATTATGCCATAAGTCTTGGAAAGGTAAGGGATCGCTCGTCGTCATGTATAATGATATCAAACCTGATGAAACAAATACTTTATTTCTATATGGTACTGTACAGTCCCTTATAAAAAAAAAGGATACTAACTTTTCCCTACTAAAAACACTTCCTAATAAGACAGATACTAACTAACTCACCGCTGCGTCAATTAGAATAACCAGTTGCCAGCACCGATGGATCATCCATTGTCACGCTCTCATTGAAGACGAATCGATTGTACGTCGGACATAGGCCAACGACATAAGCCTTCCTCCGAAAGAGACGCACAATGAAAAGCTGTTGTCGCTGCTTCAGTTTTGGGTATTTTCGTAAACTTTTTAATGGCAGCCAATAAGTGTGTACGTGGAAATATGTGTCACCACAACCATACGTTGTCACATTCATTTCAGAACAAAATACTGAGAAACTTCTGAAAGGAAGAATTTCTCGAGATTCAGATTGTTCTTATTCATGCTTGGAGGATGCAGAGACACAAAACATCACAACAGCATAACTTGAAACAGCTATCTATTTACTCAACATTAGAAAAAAAAATTTTTTTTTCAAAAATTCAAGTTCATCATTTATAATTTTACCATCACCTTTTGGAAGCCTTCTTAACCCAACAGGTGAACTAATCTTCAGGTCATTTCATTCGTCCAGCTAATATTTTAAAGTTTTCGGGAATATCGAACTGGAATAAAAGTTCTCTATAAATCTAGATTTTAAACTTGAAATACAGGTGCAAAGAAACCAGATGCAGCAGACACATCAACAGTTATATGGAAAAAACATCATTTATTACTTGTCATCATTATCAATGATTAAAGCTTTTTCAGCTTTCAATCTAACATCCGAGCACTCAACAAAACGAAGCTGCTTTTCTTCTAATTTGAAAATCATGTCAGTGCCTATAGTAGAATTCCATTCAGCTGTAAAGAGAGAATTTGAAATTTGTAGTATGGGATTTTCCGTGTTACATCGACGTATAGCACTATCACTTCGGTTCAAAGCCTGTCGTGCTGTGCTTACATCCATTATACCACCAATCTCCAATATCAGTGTTTTTGATTCCCATTCTTCATCTTGTTCTATGGCCTTATTATCGTCTTTATCTGAAAGATTCGAGTAGTAAATTTTATCAGAACTAAATTCATATTACAAAAAACACATTAAATATCGCTATGGTATATCAATACACCAGTACACCAGTTATCTTCTTTTACGCAATAAAGAATTCGTCCAAAAAATACCCTCTCCACGAATCTCTGACATGTTGGTAAGCGTTTTTGCCAACTGAAATCTTGTCCCTTTCCTGACCAACGTTACTGAAATTACATTTATTCTTGAGTTCATTAATTACTTTTTGCTGGTATGACTGATTCCTAAGATTACTGGTCACAAACTTGAAATCCTTGTTGAGAAACCTACTGAAACCAAAAAAATTAACTGGAATAATCTGCTACAGTTCAACAAAAGAATTAAAGCATCTGCAATGTATCATTCGCTGAAAATATGCATTATTGAAATAGTCGATGGCACATACTGATCCAAATTACCTACCAAACGATGAAGGAATGGTCTGAGCATGAGTGACAGTTTATTTCTCCACAAAAGTTCAACAGTTGGGACAGACACTGTACCACATTTATTTTACAGTGAATAACAATATTCAAAATCAATAAAATCAGCTCCTGGAGGCAATCTTTTGCAGAACGTTCATAATTAAAGGATAATTGGTGACATACTCGGTACGGCTAGATGAGATAACAGATGAAATATAGGAACGCATAAGAGATGACAAGAAATCCAAACGATCTGCTGCACCGTGACCCAAACACCATTTTAAATATTCTTCCAATGACCAATCGGCTGATATATGCGGCGACAATAGCGATTCCTCACTCATACTTATCAACAACTGTACAACAAACCAAAAAGGCAATGATTCCGATTGCGCTAGCTGCTCTGCGGACAGCTTGAAAGCGTCAACAAATTGGGGTATAGCAGGCATAAGAGAAGACGGAACACTGTATAACGAAAGTCCATGATCGGCAATATATTGCAAATCAAAAGATAAACGTGAAAGCTGATCTGAACAAAGAGGTCGCAGAAGCGATGAATTCATCAAAAATAACTCAATCACATAGTCCAAAAACGAACTGAAAACTTCTTCAAAACCAGCAAACTTCAAAAAAGATGAGTGCGACTGCAAAATCCGAAGATAGTTGCAAAGTTCCTTCACATATGGAGAAGGGTCACCTAACTTTTCGTAGTGCATTGATAACAAGATCGTGAAAACAGATGAACGTGCCACATCCATTAGCGCTTCTCGAACTTGTTGAGAGATTCGTATTAGAGATTCGTTGTGCTCCGGCCAAGATAAACTTAATATGTGGGCCACAGAGACTAAAGCATAATTTTGCACCTAAAAACAATTGTAAGGTTAGTATTCTTTTTATCTGCACTTTGTTTTCAGAAGGGGAAAAAAGAACTTATTATAAAGGATGGATATCATTACGCTGAGATACTGTATTCACAGAAAAATTTACTGTATCAGAAACTAGTCGATACAGAGCCACTAAGACATGCATAAACCGATATTATTTACTCTTTTATTTCATGCCTGCTTAATGCTCCCAAATCACTATTCACTCTGTTCAGTATAAAAATTCAGAAAATACAATCCTTTTTTCTAATATATTGAGATATTTAACAATATTTTACAAACTAAAGATATGTTTGTATCGATCAATCGATCAAGTAAGTCCATTCCATAAATAATCTACTATTCATTTTCACCTGCGCAGTGCTAAGTCGCTCACTCATTTGAAGCGTAGACAAATCCAAGATAAGATGCTGCTCAATCTTTTGTGCAACATACTGCAGCACTTTCGCCACATTCGTCTCCATTTCTTTGTTCAGCTGCACATCCCATTCCACACCTCCCAGTTCCTCTTTAATAGCGGAATCAATCTTAAGAAAATTTTTTCTGATATGCAAAAAGTCAGATTAACCAATCTCATCACTGATCAAAAGCGTAATAAAATGGATATATTAAACATACTCTCTCCACAGAAAAATTCACTAGATTATTTTCTTCAAAAGCGTTGTCAACTGCTTTAAACATTCTATTAAGAGAATGAGACAATATAGCTCTGCGTAGAGGCCGAAGACTTTGATCCAATGGTTGCATAGTTCTAGCGGGATACATAGATACGATTTTGGACAGATGATGTACAAAACGAGTAGCATATGAAGCGTTTTCAGAAACACGTCTTGAAATGACTTTTGCAAGCCTTTCACAGAATTCTACAATAATTTCCGCGCTTAACAAAGAATATTGCTCCAGTAACATCTGAAAAATGGAAACATTTGATATATGACACTAATTCTAAAATTCTTTGAACTAAAAGAACACAATTTTTAGCTGCTTAATCTATAAAGAGTTCCATAATGTACAAATTAATACAAACTGATTACAAGTATTTACATAACCACAGTGAACAAAAGCATACCTGAATCTGATTTGCTATCTGAGGAAGAAGTTTTGCTGCCATTACAGTGCTACTATTAAGCTGTAAAAGCTGATTATCTAGGCTTTTGATATTATCATCTAAAAGGCGACTGATCTGAAAATCCAAACAAGCAATATTTTCATTCGCAAAATTACTGAACCACACTTGCAAATAGAAAAAGAGATTTCTACATTCTTTTAGAATATATACAAATTATGTACAAATTTCAAATTATATACAAATTTTAGAATATATACAAATCATATACGAAATATATACAAATTCTGATTAATGAGCTACCAAGTTAGCCAGTATAGAATGCTTACTTCAGATTCATATAAAGATAGATTATTCAGTGCTTGAATGCAAGAAGAAACAAGTGGTGCACTGAGACTTTCAAGCGAAGATCTTAGATGACTGGCTGTGTTTTGTCTGGCTTCAGCAATTAGTTTTGGTATCTGCAAAGGATTTTTTTTTTTTTTTTTTGTAAAATATAAATTAAAACAATTATAATTGAATTTTTTTTTTAATTTTAAAGATCTGATGGAATATGAAAACCATAGCACTGACTCATACCAAAACTAAGACCATTTCACGCGTACTGCTCAAATCTTTCAAAGATGGCATCTCAGTTGTAATTGCTTCTAATTGGCAAATTATTTCGGAGCGTTTTACCAATTCGTTTGTATTTCCAAGTTTCCCAACTAACTGTTGGCATCTTAAAAGGATGTTTTAAATTAATGACTGGTATATTCACCCACACCTGATAAAGATCAAGACACTTAATTATACGTACCTGTTAGCTGATGCCAAAGTCCGCCTTAATGCATACAGCTGTTCAAGTCTACTTGATGTATGACATAACTTTTCATATTCAAATTGGAATCTTTCACCCAGTTCTTTACATTTTTTGTAAAGATGAGACATCCCATGGTTTATAGTTGTTTGTACACGATCCAAATTTTGCAGAGCGCTTGCCTGTTCCACCAAACGAGGATGATGTTGCTCAACCTGAGAAATTATAACTGAAAAATATAGAAAAATGTCGCTTCATTTGAGCTATAATACTTCATTTCGAAAGGGAAACAAATCTATACCATTAAATAGTGTAAAACTTACAGCTTCCCGGATCTGTCGACCAATATTTTCTTTAACAACATCAATTTTCCCCAAAAGAGCTTCTTCATCAATTTTAACTGCTCGAACCAGTTTCTCAATATATGCATTCCAATCGGACTTACCCCAAATGCAATCCTCCAAGCTATCTTCCATTTTCATCAAAAAAATCAAAAATTATAACTAAAAGATCACAATGATAACTTAATATATAATAACTAAAATTAAAGAAGCTAGTTCTCGGAATTTTTCAACTTTAATTAGATTTCTTATTTACAAACTGAATGAAGCATTCTGAATGAAACTTTAAAATTATTAAAAACAATAAAAAAATATACAATTACTATATGCTTGAAGGATAGGACAGAAATTCACAACAGACTTTTTTCTCTTTTCCTTACTTAGCCTAGTATAAAATAACTGGTTTTGTATAACCACCTTCATTTCAAAATCAATTCAACAAATATTCATTCAATATAATTCAATATAATACAAACGTCATAAATTTTAATCAGATTATACAACATCTTATGTCCGAATAGTAGCGACAATAAAAAATTTCAAGATCATTTCAATTTTAAATTATAATTAGCTCTTAACCGACTAAATAAAAATCAAGAAACAATATGCTCAAAACATAACTTTTCATGCAATTCATTCCTATTTTCGAACAGTTACTGATGCTTAGACATACAGAACCACTTTCGAAGTGCTAACTGCACAATATCAAATTAATGTTTATCTAAGATTATCCGAGCAAAAAATAAAATCTGATATTTCAGTTGCATGAATTCAAGGAACTTTGATATGATGTGATAAAATTTCAGAACCTTCGAAGACTACACAAATCTTACCATTTAATTTTTAATTATACATAATAATTTTAATGATAGCATACAAAGAGCATCACTGCTACTGTCTGATAAAATTTTCAAACCCTTTGTCCTTGATATCCTTAAAGGAATCCAAATTAATTGGAGGGAAAACTTCCCGAATTATACCACGAGCAATCGTTTTTTTGCTGCTTTCTCGGATTGTAAAAGGCAGTGATTGCTTCACAGGCATTCTTTTGAGCAGAACCAAGTAAGCCGTGCAATGTTCCCCAGGCATTAGTATATCAGATTCCAGATGTAGACGTCCAGCCTGAAAATCAGTCTAGCTGTATTTAGAAGTTTAAAGTGCAATTATTGGGACAAAGCAAAAGTATGAATCATAAAAAAAGATAAGCAAACCTGATCCCATGTACTACAGAATATCTTTTCAGTATAACCAGAATGCACCGCCAAACGTCTTCCACCTTCCTTTTCAGATAACAAATACAACTCAATCTAAAAATTAAGAAATAACTAGCACTAAATTCCTTTTTCTAAGAAATTCTGAAGGCTATTTTGATCACACAAGTACCAAAGATATTTAAATCGAATAAAACACCTTAAAGAAGTTTGATGTAGTAACCGCATCCACGGCTCCAAGCCACATACCTCTGTTCACTATATTCGCTTTGACACCACGGCATAAAATACCACAGTGATCTCCAGCAAAAACCTCAATTATCAAATTTTTTAATACTGCAGTATGTATTTAGTTTTATAGAAATTTATAGTGAACTTAAAAAAGTTGATAATCTCTGTAGTTGAGTACATCATGATATGATTATATATACAATTCTATACTTACTTTAAAAGAGAAACTTCAAAATTGAGACCTACAAAAAATTTGTAGAAGACATCTCCAATATAAAGGATCTTACCCTCTATCTCTCTCGGTAAACTTTATTTTAGATATAATAAAATTTATACAAATTTGCTCACTTCAAGAACACTTTTTTTAAAAACTTGTATATCTGAAACAACGGAATGAAGGCATTGATCTTCTCCCTTGATTTCCACTTTATCACCTTTCCTGACTTTTCCTTGTTCAACCGTTCCAACAACAACAGTTCCCCTCCCAGTAATTGATACTCGCGATGAAATAGGCATCAGAAATGGCCCATCCTGTAAAAGAATAATGATATAAAAGGAAAACAGAAGAAATTACCTGTTTCACAAAAAAACAAAAATTGTTAAACAGTAAAATTTTCGACCCTTTGATAACATTTTACATGATTGCACTAAATATGTTCTAGTTTATAATCCCATCCACAGAATACATTGAAATTAATAAAAAAATCAATTAGCTATTAGCAGAAATGAACAACTTGCAGCCTCATCGGGAGAGGAATGTTATCCAAAGCCGAAATTAACTTTTCAATGCATTCTCCATCACTTCCTTCTAAAGCTTGCAATGCTGATCCCTTCAACACAACAACTGATTCATCTACAAAAATATAATAAGAAGTTTTTTGAAATAACTGGTTTGCAATTTTATTAACTTTCCAATGCATTCAACATCACAGCAAAATACAAATGCCGAAATCTGTATAAATTCAATTCAATTTATAAGCAGTACTACATCTCCAGTACTACAAAGAAAAGTGATACAAAACACACCTGTGTAACCGTGATGCTCTAGTAATTCTCGTGACTCAATCTCTACTAGTGTAACGACGTCACTGTCGACCAAATCCACCTTATTTATAAATACAATTATGCTAGAAACACCAACTTGTTTAGCTAATAAGAGATGCTCCTTTGTTTGTGTCATAACACCATCCGTTGCAGCAATCACTGAATATCAGAATTTTTCTTTAAATTTTAGAAATCTAAAATCGGACTACTACAAATGTTTTTATGATTTCTCTGCTAAGCATTGTCGATCAGCTAATTTTAAAACACTTCAAATCTGATTTAAGCGAAACTTTTGCCAATTAACGTAATATACAGGCTGAGGTGAAGCTTAATGACTCAAAAAACATAATTTTTTATGGAACAGAAAGTGATGTTAGTAATGTCTTTATGAATATTTTGAAATTCACCTAAAATAGCGACATCCATCTGTGTAGCACCACAAATCATATTTTTGATAAAATCACTGTGCCCGGGACAATCAATATGAGCATACCGCCGTATATCACTTTCATAACCAATATGTGCGATATTTATCGTTATGCCCCGTCTTTGTTCTTCTTTTGCCTTATCAATTTCCTCGAATTTGACAAATCTTGTTTTTCCTAAACACACGGTATTCCCTATCAACTAGTTGACACCCTTCTTAAAAAAAGGAAAAAAAACTTCTCTTTCGTTTGAGAAGTTTTGAGATCAAACCATTTCTGGAACTTAAAGGTCAACAGGATTCCGTGACCTGCCCCCGAGATTATCAACACATCAGTTCAACCAGTAACTAGTCGACAACAAATTGAAAACTTGAGGAGGCAATTTACCTCTGGTGGACAGAATTTTGGTGATAGCGGCAGTTAACGTGGTCTTTCCGTGATCTACGTGACCTATGGTACCAACATTCAAATTTTCCTTCACAATTTTGACAGTATTCGAAGCATTTGTTGCATTCCTTGTGATACCCGAGAAAAGTAGTGAAAATGTTGAAGAGCGGAATACAGAAAATCGTTCAAGTTGGCAGTACATAACAGTCATAAAGCGTCCCAGAAATTATCAATATTAAATCATATAACAGGAAAAATACCATTTCATAACACTGACTTTTTTCAAATTCACATATCTGCTTATTGTCTTGAAAAGATGAACCTGTTCCAAAATTTTCAAAACTCTATCTGAGTCACTGTCTTACTCATTTCTTATATTCGCATCATGACCATTATAAATTAACCAAGCAATCAAAATCCAGAATACTCACCTCCTCCCCCCACCCCTTCCCACTGCAGCTTTGATCTGTCTCTTGCAAAACAACCACTTGTGGAACTGGTTTGTTTCACAGGCCACTTTGTATCACATACCATTTAAATTCCCAGTCTCCGGTGAAGCTGGGGTGTGAGGTGTCTCATGCTGTAAAAGGCTCCCCTTCACGGGAGCTATGCCTTACTTCGGGGTCAACTATAATTACTTCCGTGTTTATAATGTGTAGCATCAGTAGATGGGATCACTAGAACATAACGAACATGTATTTGCTCGTAGTTCAAAAATGACTTACAAGGTGCTAACACAGCTGACTGAGGAATGGCAGAATACATTGCCTAAACTTTAACCTCCTATTACATTACCATCATTACACATTTCAAAAGTGCATTACTGTTTGTACTTCACACACTTCCAAACAAGAAAAATTAATTCGTCATTGTAAATTCTCGCTACAGTAATTTCCCGATAGTTAATTCAAGAACATAGTATTTACTATATTTTTAAGAAACCTATTTAAAACCGCCGAAGCATTCATAACACATTCTCACATTTCTACCCCAAATACTGTCTAATATCTTCCATAGATTTCCTTTTTAACTCAAAATCAGACAAACTTTAACTAAGAGAATAATCTTGTTTATATTGCTTCCTCAGTATGAACAGTGTAAATAATATATCCGATGGTGAATTTATCTCCAGAGTTTAAGTTTTTAGAATTTTAAACGGAAAAGCATCGAAAAGAGGTCATCAGACAGCAATGTGTGATGTAACCGAATTTTTTCTTAATTGATTATGGAATTCAGGACAATCAAAAATACAGGCAAAACATAATGGACGAACATCGACAAAGGTGAAACGCAATAACAAATAAAAATTTTAAATGTACAAGCTTTGAAGTGAACATAAACCTTAAAATTTGAAGCCAAAAAACAACATGTACAAAAACAAAAGAACACATACACAAAGGACGCCTTATATTCACTACACCCGATAACATGGAATTTGAATATTGCCTCGTCCCACTGCAAAGCATTCTTGAATTCCACACAAAGTAATCGGTATAGCAAAACCTGATAGCACTAACATTTCGAAATATTCAGATTTTGTTATAAAAATGTCAATGTTGCTAAATGGAAAATAACTGAAATGGGGCGAAGGCAGTGAAAAAAAAACAAACCCCAAGAGAGAAGATTAGAAATACAAATAATCACAATAGTAAGTGTAAAAAAAAAAACCAAGGTAAAGACTAAAAAATGACACTAGGCGATAAAAGGCGAGCCGAGTTTCAAAGTATGATGCAATAACTGTTAAAATATGCTTATAACACCTCGTTTTTTAGCATCCTTTTAAGCCAACAAATGACTGGAACTGCATCATCATTTTTGCTGTGGAGTCTTTCGTCTTCGTCGTCGGAAGCAACAACACCTAAAAAATTATTTAAAAGAAGTACCGTTGTTTCTTGCTGCTAACTTCCACTGGCTGATCAAATCCAAGAAAGAGTTCTTGTACAAATAAAATTTGTAAACTTTACATAGACAGTGTCAATAAATGTGAAAAAATCAATTTACTTCACTTCACTATTATCTTCTAGGTGTGTGACGGGTTGTTGTGACCGTCCACCATTGTCTTCCATCACTTCGCCCACATTTGAATTGATTACCTCAAAAACATACTTTCCTTCATAACTACATATTTGACAATAGAGATAGTAGTCCTTCAATGTAATAATTAGATGTTAAACTGCGTTTTTTTCTTGCTAGAAACATTTCATTTATGCAGACTCTTCGGCAACATGAAAATACTACTTGAAATACCTACTTGGGTAGAGCCAAAACCACCCTGTTGTACAGCGCCTTGATTGGACGGTTTGAGGGTTTCATTTTGTCGTCCTTTCGTAATACCAGCCCGTTTTCCCTCTCCTTTGTGTGCTTCACCGGCATGAAGAGAACCCGAAGGAGTTGACTGTAGTATAAAGTGTTAAAAATAGTGCCTATTAAATCATCCAAATTAAAACCATTTCACATTACTAAATTAGCAGGAAGAGTGAGATTCACAGACATCACATGCATCTACAAAACTGATCATAATAAAGTTTCTATCGCTACCAATTCTAGTCCAAATTCTGCACTGCAAATTTCGACAAGGAAATCAAGTTGCAAGTTGTTCCAAAGAATATAATCCAAAAAGTTTTGTCTTTACATACTTAACAATTAAAAGGAAATTCATATACCGCTTGATTGAGCTTTGGAGTCCAATCAAACTCGTAATCGTATGTATAACCAAGTCTATCAAGCACTGACTTAAACAGATTATAACAATATTCGTAGTCTGGCGCTTCGAAGAAGTCTAATCGACGTGCATATCGTAAATACTGAGCAAATTCCTCTGTAATTGCACCCTAATACATAACAACAAATAATTACTCTAGATATTTATAACGAGCTCCAATTACTCAACATTCAACACACTAAACTCTTTTTTGCAGGGGAATCAGCTATAGTTATAATTACAATTTATATTGCTTCATCAGCTTGATTTTGCATCTAAAGCTATTTTAAATTCTCAAACAATATAGTGAACTAAAACAGCAAACAGTATTATCTACTTTTTCAGAATGATTTCAAAAAGAGATAATTATATAGGAAATAAAGAGACAACTGTGTAGGACGCAGGGCGCCTAGCTTTGATTCTAAATACCGTCACTGATACAATCTCAGTAGTGGTATACAGCGTTAATAATTAAGTAGGTGTAGTGAAAAATCGTACCAGGAAAGCCCTCGCAAAGTACTTCAATTGGAGTTGCTCGTTTGGTATCACCAATCTTTTGATACCGTTCTTTGAGAGTATCCGCCTTAAGACCTTGCCAAGGCAATGATCCACGCAAGAAGTACATGAACATATGCCCAAGTGCTTCCAAGTCGTCCCTTCTACTCTGTTCTTTACCCAGATGTGTGTTTATTGACATGTACCTCGCCGTGCCTGTCAGTGACTTATGTTCCCTGTATGCAATGTGCTTACCTGTAATTGACTTGGACTTTTTCATTTCATTTGTTTCAAATGCATTCAGAAGTTGTAAAAAAATCGAAACGAATTTCTTCTACCCATCAACTCTGCTCCTACTTGACCATCAAATTATTGATAGAGTTAAAGCACAGCTTGCAACTGTTCGGATAATGGTACAAAGACTGAACATAACCAGCATACCAATAGCCGAAATCATGAAAATCAATACCGCCGTTACACAGAATGAAGTTACCAGTATCACAATCAATGTATTCTTTTGCAAGACCAAAGTCGATAATATGAAGTAAGTGCTGCTTCCTAGTAGAATGCCGTCCTATTAGGAAATTTTCCGGTTTTACATCTCGATAAATCAGATGCTTCATATGTACATATTCAATGCGCCTCATCTATAAAATAAAAAGTAGAATATTTCAGCTATAAATTATATATGGGGAAGTTAAGTTTTTACAAGGTTATCGAGTTATTGTGCTGAACTATTTTGCTTTCCATATTGCTATAATAGTCATTATTAAGTACTTCTTATAGCCTATTATAAAGTCCGTAGTCTAAAACTTAGCATTGTTCATCACAGAGAATCCCGAATTATTCAAATAAACTGTTGGGTAAAGTCGCAACTGTGCTTAATAGCATTGCACTATAATAAAAGTAAGCTTGAAACAGACTATACCAGCTGCATTGCAATCATTGCAACAGTTTTCAATGAGAATTTCCGATCGCACAAATCAAAGAGATCTTCTAAAGAATGTCCTAATAATTCCATTACCAAAGCATTGTATTTCCCACATGGTCCAAAATAATGCACTTGCGGCAGTCCTTCTGTAAAAACACCTACTATAAATAAAAAACTTTAAACAAAAACGAAAAATAGGTTCCTACAAATTTAAACCTAAAAATGGATAATGAAATCCAAGTTATAAATCTCAAAACATCTAAGACATGGAGAGAAAGCAAGATGCAAACCAATGAAGAATTCCATCTTTTTCAAATTTTCTCATCAGAAATGAAATCCGTCGACAGCGAAGGTAAATGCTTTTAAGATTTCTAAGATAAATATGACAAACATGCTAACCATAACGTTCAAAGGAATTCAAAAGATAAAGAAAAAGAAGCTAATGACATAAATAAACCGTGCTGGCCAAGCAGTTTGTAAAAACGATATTCGAGATGAAGCTGAGGCGCTTTGCTCTTCAAGGGTTCTAACTTGATAGCCACATGTTCGTTATTGTATAAATTCTTTCCTAAACGTAGTTCTCCAAAATTACCGCATCCAATTTTTTTTCCTACCTGAAATGAACTTTAAATCCTTACATTCAGAAGTAGTATTAAATAAGCATTATCCTATGCATTTTGCGTGCACTCTTTTACTGCAATACCAGACAACATTTCCTGCGAAATAACCATACAGATGCCATTTTTCATTTTCATAATACCCATTCGGCAGAACTTTTTAAGATTTCCGGTTGTGTATCATGAAATGTATCCCAACAATATCCTGTCCATCTAAATTTTAATGCTACGCTACATTGTGAATTAAAAATGTTCAGGAAACACCAAACAAAGAAAAAAAAATATATTTTTTAAATCTAATGCTTCACTAATTATACTGGAATTAAAAGGAATGGTAATGGCAACAGCTCACAAATCACAGGGAAGATGACTGTTTGAAAATCTCAAAGCGATGCAGATCTTTCTCTTCAACTCACGTTCCACAAGGCTGAACTGCACTATGTAAGATAGCAAGTTTGACCGCAACT